TAATAATAATAATAATAATAATAATAATAATAATAATAATAATAATATATTCTAATTGTTATAAATTGATTTTACCAAAAAAGGGGGGGAGCAAATATTAAGAGGATTCCCTGTCTCTGATTAAAGCAGGCCCCTGGACTATCCAACGGTCCATAAAGATCACACACACACACACACACACACATACACACACTATGTATGTATGTATGTATGTATGTATGTATCTATCTATCTATCTATCTATCTATCTATCTATCTATCTATCTATCTATCTATCTATCTATCTATCGCCTCGTGGTCTTTAGGTCAGAAATTGCAATGGCAAGCAATTTTATATTATGGTGCCTTTTAAAATAATCATCAGCAATTTGTATCAGGGCCCAGAAGCTTATTGACATTGATGCAAGAATCTAAGATGCAATCCTGCAATATAGATTTCCCTGGCTAGCAGTTCAGCCACTGCATTCTGACACAGTAATGGTTTCTGAACCATCTTAAGAGACAATGCCATATAGAATACATAGCATTATTTATCAAACATATCTATTCTTTTTTTCCACATTTTGAATTGTCCAACTCCTTCAGACTGTGTTGTATAATAAAATGCTAAAATATAAAAACAGCATATAAAAATTAAAAATTTAGAAAATGTAGAATGTAAAAGGAGGCAAAGTTGATTAAAATCTGTTAGAAATTAGTTAAAAACTGACGGGATGGCTTTCAGGACATCAACCATCCCCATGGCAGTGTGCTTCTCTAAGCTCCTTGTGCAAGGCTGCAGAGCCACATTTTAACTCCTTTGCAAAAGACTGAAAGAGTGGGAGCCTGTCTTAACATCAAAGGAAAGGATATTTATTACACAGGTGGGGCAATAGTAGAAAAGGCGCTCTTCCTACATCCTGCCAGTTGTAATTCTTTGACTTATTGGGTCTACAACATATTTTCCCTCTCTGACTCAGTGAGACAGGACAATATAATGGGACAAAGATGGTTCTGTAGGCAGCCTGGCCCCATGGGATGTAGGGCTTTTAAGTCATAACACCTTGAAATGCATCCAGAAGTAAACTGGCATCCAATGCAAATTCACAGAGCAAAGATATTACATACACCCTTTTTTGCTCATGTCATATTCTGCAACATGTAACTGGATACTTTTCAAAAGTAGCACCATGTACAATAATCCAGTCAGGAGATGACCAAGTCATTAGTGCCTAAATGGAGAGTTTTCCTATCCAGGAAGGAGTGTAAATGGCACATAACATGAAGTTTCTATCCCATTGATATGAAAAGATTTTTAGTAGTTTACAATTACAATTTGAAGCATCCTTGGTAAAAGCAGCAGTTCAACTATCTGATAATTAGAGCAAGGAATTTAAAAATTACATTTTCAAATTATGTAAGTGAAATTACAAAGATAAAACATCAGATTGGTTTACTAATTGTAGATCACTGAGTTGCATTCTGAGTTCAGCGTTAGACACTCTTTAAATAAACAGTCTCCTTTTTTTCCTAATGAATTGCTGTAGCAGTCTCTGTAGATTTGGTGATATAGGTAAACCAGGTGGAATCAGTCTGTTGTGCTATATTGTGTATGTTTGTTAAATATCATTATATCCCATTAAAAGCTTCCAGTATTATTGCTGTTATTGATTCATTTAATATTATTAGTGTTATTATTCTTTCCTGACTTATTTTATATAATACTTTGGTCAATCCATGGTGGAGAACATACATAATTGTCCTTCCTCCTATTTTTAACGTATACATGAGATTTATGTAGTGACTTTTTTGTTACTATCCATATCATACCATTTGTCCATGTTCATACGATACAGTTTTTTCTGATACCATAGATCAGTGTTTCTCAACTTTGACAACTTTTAAAATGTGGACTTCAGCTGCCAGAATTCTTCAGCCAAAATAAATTTCAGAATTCCCCAGCCAGCATATCTTGAGAAACACTGCCATAGGCTAATTAATTGAAGTAATAAAATAGAATAGAATTCTTTATTGGCCAAGTGTGACTGGACACACAAGGAATTGTCTTGGTGCATATGCTCTCAGTGTACATAAAAGAAAAGATACAAGAGTCAAGAATCATAAGGTACAATACTTAATAATAGGGTGTAGCATTGAGCTGCTAATTGTGTATGAGAACCAAGGTAGGATATTTTTTTCTTTCCTCAATTCAATCCTTTTCATCTGAAATCTGCATCAAGTTAGATCACTTTGCATTTAAAAATGAATGTGTGTCACTTCAAATAAGTACATAACTCAGTTTCTTATTTCTTAGAGTCTCTAGCTATATCTTTTAAGCTAATTAAACATACATTTCACTTGTTTTAAAGGCTTCTATCTCAAGATCAGTACCTATGCCACTGTCAAATATTTCAGTGCCAAAATCAACAATCTCACGTGTGCCGTGCAATGTAGAAGGAATAAGTCCTGAATTAGAAAAAGTATTCATCAGAGATAACAGTGGAAAGGAGGAAGTATCGAAGGTAAGGGAATGCTGTGAGTGGCTATTATAAAAGACATGTTCTAGGAATGTAATTTATTCATTTAGTTTTATTTTTCTAGTCATATATTCCAAGCACATCTGACCAAGCATTTTATGTAATCTCAGTAAAGAGATTAAAACCATGTAAACTATGCATGTACCCAGGAATAAGCACAAAATATTTAGTCTCCATGATAGACAGCAAACCCCCAAGGACCAGTTGAAGCAACTAGATCTTAATTACTTTTCTGGAAAGTTCAAGGCCAATCTGATGCATTGACCTACATTAAAAGCTAATTTTATATGAAGACTCTAGATAGTTTGCATACCCATATGTGTAAAGTGACTAATATAAGTAATTGTATTTTTTACTTTTGAATATATTGTGATCGTAGAACAATCCAACCAATAGTAGTAATTGTAGAAATATTTTTTTAAAAAATTAAATGAAATGAAATAATTCTTACATATATATTCATGGATAAACTAGTTTATCCATGGATGGACTTATTTGCATGTATACACACACTTAAAAAAGTACCTATATTTTCCTTTATATGTAAGACTATCTGCAAATATACAGACCCTCAAATTTTTAACCAAAATACCATGAAAAATGGATTATCCACGGGTGGCTTATACATAGGTATAAATGGTAGACTATTAAGAATCTTATGAGGCAGTTCTATTCATGGTTTTAAGTTTCCTTATGACCTTACAACCATGGAAGTGCTGCAACTTCCCTCTCCCATACTGTGGGTCAGAAAGCCTCAACTAGCTAGGTCCAATATTGTACATGCCTCCTGCCTCTCCCTTCACTCCCAAGAAGTCTGGCCTTCTCCCTTCTCCTCCCCTTCCAAAACATCTTCCCAATCTGCACTGCTCCCTGCAGGCCATTTTTGATCTGCAAGCCATCTATCTTGTACTCCCAAGCACCTCCAGGCACCATTCACAGCCTACACTACCACTCCTACACCCTTCCCTGATTCGTGCAAGATTTCTTGGGCAAACCCACATGTCCTTCCTAACCTGTGCAGCACCTCTTGTGCACACCCACATACCATTTCCTGCATTCCCCCCTCTACATAGCAACAGCCATTTATTTATCTGGTGGCCTTGGACTTGCAATTTCCTGCTGGCTTTCTGTAAGCTTCCCACAAGCAAAATAATTGGGGAAGACAGTAGAATTCTAAAGAGGGAGAGGGAAGGAAGGACATGATGACAAAATGAGGGAGGGGGGAGGGAGGAAGGGAAGGGAGGGAGGAAGGGAAGGAAGGAAGAAAGGAAAGAAACAGCAGATTTCACATGCTACCTACCAGATTCTCACAAGGAAACACAATATGAGAAGGTAGCAGGAAGTTGATACAGGTAATCCTTGACTTACAACAGTTCATTTAGTGACTGTTCAAAATTACAACGGCACTGAAAATAGAAAATAGAGACTTATGACCATTTTTCACACTTATGACCATTGCAGCATCCCATGGTCATGTGATTTACATTCAGATGCTTGACAATGAACTCATATTTATGATGGCTGCAGTGTTCATTTTTGCAACCTTCTGACAAGCAAAGTCAATGGAGAACCCACATTCATTTAACAACCATGTTACTAATATAACAACTGCAGTGATTCACTTAACAAATGTGGCAAGAAAAGTTATAAAATGGGGCAAATTTACTTAACAGATTTTTAACAACATAAATTTTGGGTTCAATTATGGCCATAAATTGAGGATTACTCCTCAATTATTGAGGAGATTATTGAGATTATTGAGGTTGCTCCTTGCTTCACAGTTGTTTTTTTTTTGCCCAGAATAGATAGTTTTCTTATTGTTTGTAGTCAGACAGATAAGATCCTGAAAAACAGGAAAGAGTTTGAATATCTTCATATGGTGGCAAATATGCCAGAAAATTGCTTTGCAAAAAACTGGGATATCATGAATTCTATTCCTGCCTTAGACCCGAAGTTAACTATGTGACTTTGGGTCAGTCACTCTCAGACCTGGGAAGCAGGCAGTGGCAAACATTTCTGAAATCTGCCAGAAATACTGAAAGGACTTGCCACCAGGAATCAAGGTCATATAAAGTGTTAGCAACTGCTTTATAATGCTTTGGTAAAACCACGCTTGGAATAAAATGATTAGAGGACTGGAGGTTAAAACATAGAAAGAACTGTTGCAGGAATTGGATACATCTAGTTCAATGAAAAGAAGGACTAGGGGTGATGATAGTGTTTCAATATCTTCTAAGAGGTTTACTACAAAGAAGGGGGGTGGGTATCAACCTATTCTCCAAAGCACCTGAAGGCAGGACAAGAAGCCATGAGGGAAACTAATCAAGGAAGTAAGGAGAGATTTCCTAACAGAACCATTAATCAGTGGAACGACTTGCCACCAGAAGTTGTGGGTGCTCCCAACACTGGCGATTTTCAAGAAGAGATCGGACAACCATTTTTTCAGAATGGTATAGGGCAGTGGTGGTGAACCTATGGCACGAGTGCCAGAGGTGGCATAGAGCCCTCTTTGTTGGGCATGCGCGCCATTGCCCCATAACTAGCTTTACCACGCATGCGCTTTCCTCCATCCAGCTGGGTCTCTGCCACCATACGTGGGGGCAGGGTGCATGTGCGAGAGGTGGGCCACAGGAACACACATGTGGGGAGGGGCGTGTCTTGTATTTTGGGTAAGTGCGTGCATGCGCGTGCTTTGGACACTCTGCCCAAAAGGTTTGCCATTACTGGTATAGGGTTTTATATCTAAGCAGGGGGAAGGACTTGAAGACCTACAGAGTCCCTTCAAACTCTTGTTATTTTGTTATCATTCATATGCTGTAACGTGGATTCGAAGTCATCCTTTCCCCAAAAAATTCAAAACAAAAAAACACCACTCACAAAAATATAGAGTAGTTTTACTTTGCCTGATTTAAACTTAATAAATTATACACAACAACATTTGTCTTCTGCCCAGTTACAATTTCTTACATAATTTTATGAAATAAGGCTTTATGTCTTCTACTTCTGAGTATGCTCCAGCATGTTTGTATTGTTAAGACATTTAAATAAAGTGGAAAAAATACAGAAAGGTTTTGAATACTGTTTTAGAAAAGAAATTTAACACATATGCAAGCACACAGAGTTAAGTAGTCCATAAACTTTCATAAAACTATTTGAAATTAAAAAGATAATTATGATACAATTAATATAGGTCAATGATTTACAAAACTAAGGGAAAAAAGCTTTTATAAAGGTGTGTGTTGTGTTGGTTTATGTTGTAAGGTAAGGCAAACAAATTTATGTACTATACAACTATAATAAACTACAGCAGGTTTGTAGATTCTTAGTCATAATATATATGCCATTATAAGTGGCAATCCCTTTATTTTATTGCAACTAGGGATGCTTTGGCAAATATTGGTGACAAAATGATATTGCTGGTGGTAGAGAACGAATAAAGTCCTTCACCACTATGAAAATAAAGTATCTAGGATGGGGGAAAACCTTATAGCATGTAGAGCTTTTATTGTGGTGGCAGTCATTATGATTTTGGAGCATTGGCTGAAATAAAATGGAAAATTGTCTTGCAAGAGTTGCTTTGCTCACAGAACACAAAGATGATATATGCATAAGTTTAGCTGTTTGAAAACTGAAGAAAAAAAATGCCAAATGGAAAGATGTAAGTCATAAAAAATTATCAAACAGCATCTAGAATCTTGCTTAGAAAAATGCTCTTAAAATAATTTTTTTTTAAAATTAAACTATTTTAATTTTATAGGTACACTTATCTTTTATATGTTAATATAGGCAGTCCTTGCATAATAATGGTGATTGGGCTCGGCAGTTGTATTGTTAAGCAGTAATATAAAGCAGTGTCATGTGATCACACTGACTTACAACAGCAATTATGGCAATCTAAGTTGCTGTTGTTATGCAAATCCTAAGTGATCACAGTGTCCCATAATGAGATGATCCCTATTGCAATCTCTTGCCAGCTTCCCCATTGACTTTACTGGAAACCTGCAGTGAAGTGAAATGATGATCTTGTGAATACAAGAATGTTCTGACAGTTGCAACTATGAGGATCTGTCATGAATCCTCTTTATTCAGTGTCATTGTTACTTCAAATAGTTAATGAATGAATAGGTCATTCAAAGAGGACTGCCTATAACAGCTTAACAGGAGGAGGGAATATATTGTTTAGTAACTACAGTAACTTGCATTAGCAGAAGGATTCTTAATGAAAATGAAAGACGAGGGGAAAATTGAATTTTCCTTTCTTAATAACGGTCATGTAAACCATATAGGAATACTTGATTTGTGCAGGATAAGTTAGTTTGTAAAAAAAAAACCTGCTATTATGTATTATATTCTATAATATGGAATATTGGAATCATAGGTTTGCTGTATCCTCTCACATTATGTGCTATGAAAAAGATTTCTGTTCTTTTATCACCGTTTGAAGTTTCTTTAAACTTCTTTCCTGCTTTTTAATGGCATTTTTGTTACTAGTAACAAAATTGTTTCATTACTGTGAAATATCGAGAGAATAGGTTTGGTACAGATAAATTTCAGTATGAAACTTAAACAAGTCCTGACATCTTTTTAAGAATATGACCTTCATAGTAAAGCAATTTATTTTATTCTCCTTTGTAGCCCTATGCACTGATGCATGGCATACCACTGGGTGTTTTGCTTCTTTATTTTTTATTTATTTAATTTGATTTGTCAATCGCTTACAAGATAATATATTTAAGAATAAACATAGTTATGAATACATGAAATGGATACATATAAGAAAAATAAAAGAAACAATAGGACAGGGATGGTAGGCATGTTGGTGAGCTTATGCACGCCCCCTACAGACCTCTTAGGAAAGGGGTGAGGTCAACAGTAGACAGTCTAAGGTTAAAATTTTGGGGGTTTGGGGAAGAAACCACAGAGTCAGGTAGAGTATTCCAGACATTGACCACTCTATTGCTGAAGTCGTATTTCCTGCAATCAAGTTTGGTGCGGTTAACCTTGAGTTTGTATCTATTGTGTGCTCTTGTGTTGTTATGGTTGAAGCTGAAATATTCTTTTGTAGGAAAATGAATTTCTTGTCCTTTTGCAAGGACAGCTCTGGCATGAAGGACATTGAAAGAGGACAGGTCAAACTGCCTATGGAAGGATTAATTCTTACTATGCTTGTTAAGAATAATATTTGTATTGTAGCCCTTGGATATTCCTGATGGTCGGAGAGCACCCCTACCTGCTCACTATCGTAGCAGCAGCACAAGAAGCATTGATACACAAACACCTTCAGTCCAGGAGCGCAGTAGCAGCTGTAGCAGCCATTCTCCATGCATTTCTCCTATTTGTCATCCTGAATCACAGGATGGGAGTCCTTGTTCTACAGAAGAAGTGCTTTATGACCGTGATAAAGGTGAGAGTCTGTTGGAATTATTGGTCATGGTTTGCATTTACTGTAATGCATCCTCACTGTGCATTTGTGCACTGAAATCATTTTTTTTTTTTGTCATCATCCTAGTGGCGTGAACACAGATTGATCATTGATTTTTTTTTGCTTGCTTATTTATTTCCTCTCTTGCTTGTGAAATTTTACAAACATCTTCCATAAGTGTGAGAAAAGAACACAGTGGTCTTAACTCTTTTTAATGAATACTAGAGTAAGAAGTTAAGAGAAAGAGCACCGTTCCATATTGCAGAATGTGAATCATTGGTCAAAGAAGTTAACTCACTTCATGATTATGTTACTTTTAAATAATGAAACAAGTTAAACTAGAAATATCATTTTTCCAGTTCAGTGTATAAAGATTTTGACTTTGGAATGAGTTCTGCTGATGAGCGAATCATGGCTGTGTTTCATTGTCTGTATTTAACAGTGCAATCTTCTATATGTCTACTCAGAAGTAAGCCCCATTGAGGTCAGTGGAACTTATTCCCAGGTAAGTAAGTACAGGGTTGCAGCCTTATAATTAAATGAAGATGTTCTCAGCACAGTTGGTGTTTTTGTACAGTGTGCAGTTCTAGGTACATTCATGGATTGATGAGGAATACAGTATTCAGCATGCTTTAAATTATAGCTTTTTTATTTTTCTAAATAAAAGTTTCCGCACCTCAATGGCTGCAAAGATAATTTTAGAAGCATGCAATTATTATTTTACAATTGTGTGAATCTCCAACATGTTGAGGGTAAGGATGGTTTGGGTTTTGTGTATAATCCTTTGCATTGTTCTTTATGTAGAAGAAGCAAAATACATTTAATGGAACAGATACATATATTTAAGTATTAATTTATATTCTTTGTTTACCGGAGCTCAAGATGCCTTATGTCACTAAATTGAGGACTTCCTATCCAGGCATTGACCCATTCACTTTCAAGATGTATTTTGTGTCTTCCTAGTTGGTCTTCTAGCCAACTATTTGAACTTATTTTGTAGAATTTATAAGGGCTACATATTCCAGTTTGCCTTATAATTACACTGCTCAAAAAAATAAAGGGAACACTTAAACAACACAATGTAACTCCAAGTCAACCACACTTCTGTGAAATCAAACTGTCCACTTAGGTAGCAACACTGATTGACAATCAATTTCACATGCTGTTGTGCAAATGGAATAGGCAAAAGGTGGAAAGCATAGGCAGTTAGCAAGACATCCCCAATAAAGGAGTGGTGACCACAGACCACTTCTCAGTTCCTATGCTTTCTGGCTGATGGTTTGGTCACTTTTGAATGCTGACGGTGCTGTCACTCTAGTGGTAGCATGAGCTGGAGTCTACAACCCACGCAAGTGGCTCAGGTAGTGCAGCCCATCCAGGATGGCACATCAATGCGAGCTGTGGCAAGAAGGTTTGCTGTGTCTATCAGTGTAGTGTCCAGAGCATGGAGGCGCTACCAGGAGACAGGCCAGTACATCAGGAGACGTAGAGGAGGCCGTAGGAGGGCAACAACCCAGCATCAGGACCGCTACCTCCGCCTTTGTGCAAGGAGGGACAGGAGAAGCACTGCCAGAGCCCTGCAAAATGACCACCAGCAGGCCACAAATGTGCATGTGGCTGCTCAAACGGTCAGAAACAGACTCCATGAGGGTGGTATGAGGGCCCGACATCCACAGGTGGGGGTTGTGCTTACAGCCCAACACCGTGCAGGACGTTTGGCATTTGCCAGAGAACACCAAGATTGGCAAATTCACCACTGGCACCCTGTGCTCTTCACAGATGAAAGCAGGTTCACACTGAGCACATGTGAGATGTGACAGGGTCTGGAGACGCCATGAAGAACGTTCTGCTGCCTGCAACATCCTCCAGCATGACCGGTTTGGCAGTGGGTCAGTAATGGTGTGGGGTGGCATTTCTTTAGGGGGCCGCACAGCCCTCCATGTGCTCGCCAGAGGTAGCCTGACTACCATTATGTACCGAGATGAGATCCTCAGACCCCTTGTGAGACCATATGCTGGTGCAGTTGGCCCTGGGTTCCTCCTAATGCAAGACAGTGCTAGACCTCATGTGGCTGGAGTGTGTCAGCAGTTCTTGCAAGACGAAGGCATTGATGCTATGGACTGGCCTGCCTGTTCCTCAGACCTGAATCCAATTGAGCACATCTGGGACATCATGTCTTGCTCCATCCATCAATGCCACATTGCACCACAGACTGTCCAGGAGTTGGGAGATGTTTTAGTCCAGGTGTGGGAGGAGATCCCTCAGGAAACCATTCGCTACCTCATCAGGAGTATGCCCAGGCGTTGTAGGGAAGTCATACAGGCACGTGGAGGCCAACCACACACTACTGAGCCTCATTTTGACTTGTTTTAAGGACATTACATCAAAGTTGGATCAGCCTGTAGTGTTTTTTTCCACTTTAATTTTGAGTGTAACTCCAAATCCAGACCTCCATGGGTCGCTAAATTTGATTTCCATTGATAATTTTTTGTGATTTTGTTGTCAGCACATTCAACTATGTAATGAACAAAGTATTTAATAACAATATTTCATTCATTCAGATCTAGATGTCTTATTTTTGTGTTCCCTTTATTTTTTTGAGCAGTGTATTTTAAAATATGATTACATAGTTTTTAGGATCATTTTGAGGAATCTTAATTATGAAATGGTTCAATAATTAAAAATTCCTGATGTAAATTTAAATGAATGAACGTCCTTGATTTTTATTTGCTTGCTCATTCTTAAAAAGCTTGTCTTTACAATCTTTTATATGCTTTGGTTTCTTTTTCTTTTTTTTAAACAAAAATACATCTTGAATTCTGCTTTTAAGATTTTTCAGTTTTTACATTTTCACTTACATGTTGCATACATTTCTTTCATTTCCTTTTCTCTTTCCTTTCCTCCAGCCCCTTTTGAAATTTATCCATATTTTATCTGTTGTTCTGTATGTTCTTCCTTAGCCCACACATGGTCCTGTTCATATTGCAGTTTTAGTTGAATGTGTTTGTTCAGTTGGTGTCAACACAGTACTCTTTTTTTGTTACATTTATTTATACTTTGCTTTCAAAACAACTTAGAGAGCATCATAGCTTAGTTTTCTTATGGATAAAAGTAACCATAGTGAGCAAATATGTTAAGATATATTAGAAAAGATGTAATAACATACTATAAAGTATATTGTGGAATTAAAACCTAAAGTATTTTATCAATAATACTTGATTAGCATTTTACATGCTGCTGCTCTTGCTGTTACAACAATCATATAGTAGCAGATTTTTAATAAAGAGTTTTATCTTTAATGGTTGGGGCAGTCTATGGCTCATAGATGTTACCAGATTCCTAACCATACATTGGCTAAAGTTAATGGAAATTTGTAGTTCAGTAGTAAGGAATGATGAAAGCAAATTCAGGTTGCCCATTTCTGTCTGATGTAGGTTACAATGAGCTGTTTTTTTTTCTTACAGATAAACTACATGAGTATTATTTTAAAATATATCTCACTAATTTATTTTCAGTTTGCTTACCTGATTTCTCTGTCTTATGCTGCTCACAATAAATGCTGCTTACATAATTATAACATTTAGTTTAAATATGTATTTAGTTTAAATAAAAATTTAAATATTCAGTTAAGAGATACCTTTATATTTTCCTCATATTCCTTATGAGTCTTTTAGCTAATGTTACTTTTTGTTTCAGCAAATACCTTAAATTTTAGTTTATTTTCAAAAGAGCTCATATAGGGTAGACACAATAAGGAGTTTGCCATACTTCTAAGCTGTTGAAAATATATTTTTAATATTCTGTTCATTGTTACAACTGTAATTGTGCTACACTGTACATTTAAATGAATCTGATAATTATATTCATTTTATGCATGATAGTCTACTAGGTGCTCTTTCTGGAAGAAGTAGTGATAAATTTATATAAATTAGTATATTTAATTTAAGTTGCCACAATAATGTATATTTAATGAACATAAATAAATATATAAATGTATATGTTTGTAGAGTTGCATATGATTTAAAACATTTCATTGTAATGTTACTGAGTTTGACCAGTAATTTTGGAGCTAATTTTAGCTAATCGGGTTAATGCATTTTGCTTTGTTTTTTAAAAGGAAATTATTTCATATTACTAAGATAATGCCTTATGTTACTTTAACAGTTCTAAAAGAAGCATTAAGTGACCTTTAAAAGCTAAGTGGGCATTTGATTAATTGACAGTAAATACATTTAAGGATAGATTGTGTGGATATTGATTATTAAATTAATAATCTGTTCTAAAATACTGTAGCAGGAGCTAGAATTTGGCTATATCTGACATTATCTAAGCAAAGAGACAGTCCTCTGCCATTTGATATGCTCAAATCTGCTCTAACCACATCCTCAACATTTATATATTAAAGATAAGAAAGCAGTCTATTGTATCTATTGTAGAAGGTGATTTCATTGGTTTTGGCAATCATTGCGATAATTGCAAATTGCTGTCTTAGGAGAGATAATGTGCTTATGCCACATGTAATATTGCTTGTTCTCCTAGTGTAAGCTTATGTTTGGATAAAGCTAGCATTATAACTGAATTACATAGAAGAATGTATTTGTTCAATTGAACTATATAAATGAAATTTTGAGTACATTTCTGGAATAAAAAACAGACTTAAAATGATTTTTTTAATTAGAGAGAAAAAACCTTCAGGTAGCATTTTCTATTCTACGCTACCAGTGAGATTTCTTTGGTATCACATTTTTGTGATAACTTACTGATGTTTTGACTAAGACAGGCGGCAATTATATTATTGTCAAATACACTTGTCAGCATCAATTTTTCCCATTTTTCTACTCTAGGGTAGAAGTACCCAAATTTCTATTATGGGTCTATCTGACCACCAGAGGTTGAGTTTCTCTCTTTTATATTGATTTATCTTTTATGATGATTAAACTTAGTTTGTTAACTTCATGTACTAGTTTTGGGAGGAGGTATTTTAAAGTTTAAATATCTTATGTTAAGAAGGCATATAAAATTACCTAAAGATTCTGAACGCTTTGTTCTTTATCGTAAGCTTTGTTTGCAGCCCAATTCGCATTATACTTTTCAACAGAAAATCAGCTTTAGGCTGGAACTTTCTGGGTTTGTGAATAAAAAAATGGAAGTTAATAATTGATCAAGCGTAGGGAGAGCTAACCTGCTGGCCAGACACAGACCTGCTTTACATTTCTAAAGCATCTTTTCTTTCCATTGGAAGGCTGCAATTTAACCACAGGATCCATCGCCACCCTTTGCACCAGATCAGCTATTTACTTTACATTTCTATGAAGAGCTGCTTAAATAGGTTGAAATGTTCAAAAGAAAGTGAACATAAAGTCTGTAAAGGAAACCTATGGTCTACTTTAGGGTGGGAGAATGATATTGCCTGGCAGGGAATGGAGAATATGTCAACGGCACCTGTTGTGTGTATGGAGAAAGGGAGGGGGAAAAGGCCCCAGCCTACAATTTGATTAGAAGCAGTTTTATTGCATTTAAAGTGCCTGCTCCACAGGGAGTTAGTGATTAGAATTCAGTTTTGTGCTTTCCCCCCAATTGCTATTAAAGCCTGCGGGTGTACTTTTGAGATCTTGTGGTACAAAGAGAAGGACTGTTTTTTAGCCTATACTATTTAGATTGTAAAATAGAACTTATTTTTTTGTAAGTAAATCTCATTCTTTTAATGTTACTGATGAGCCATCTGTTTAGTCTGCCTAGTTTCAAATTAATGAAGGCTCTTATTCTGCAGATCTTTCAGTATTTGATCGTTAAAACTAGCTTTATATGAAAAACTACATTTAATGTGCTTTAAGGAGAATTTGAACATAGAACGTGTAAAACTGGAAGGATGGAATGATTTATTACCTGCTTAAAACCTGACAGAAATATTTCTCTAAAGATATTAAGACAAGCAGCTGGTAGATGTTAGCTGAATGATTCAATTAATTATTTAGATACAGAAAATAATACTGGAGATCCTAGTGGATAACAGTTTTTTTTGGTTTGGGTTTTTATTGATTTGTTGTTTAGGAAGATTTGTTTCTAAAAGTCAGGGCAGAGGATATTTAGAAGAAGAAATAAGAGAAATTATTTTTAACTTTCCAAAAACAGTCAATGAGTATGTTTTTAAAGTTTTCAGTTACAGCTAATAGGGGACTGATACAAGAACATTTGGCTTGTCAGTTTATGAAATTATTGCAATATTCAGGAGGCATCTCTCTGTAGAACTGAAAATACCATCCAACGGAGACAGCACTTGATGTAATTGCTATACATGATTACTAATTCATCTGTAGGAGGAAATATTAATGAAAAAAGAAAGCTCTGATATTTGGAGAACTGCTTATTTAAATGTTTTATTTTTGAAGCATCTTTTGAGCAAGCTCATGGATGATAAAATATGATGGTCAAATTAGTAGATGCAATCCACCAAGGCATTTTTTTCTCATATATCCTATTTTTATTGCTATACTTTTGTAGTTATACATTACGTATTGTACTTTAGTGCTGTTAAAATTTGCTAGTTTCTCCTGTTTTAACATAGATTATCATAGATGAAAACTAACAAAAAACAGGTGTAGCATTGTGTCAGGTCTAAAAATTGGAGATGCTTATTTTATTCTGTGTTTCAAAGCCCATTCGTATAATAGAAGTGTTTATATTATATAAATAGTTGTGTTTGTTCATAATATTGCTTGTATATGGCAATATTGTGAGCTCTTTGGGTTTCAGATGATATTTACGAGCATTGTTTCTGTTGTTTTGTATAGTGCAAAGACAATTATTTTAAATTGTCACTACTTTACTTGAATTGTACATATTTATTTAATAGCTTTCATTTTTGAAATACTTACTAGAGAATTTAAAGTATTTCAAGATTATAATTTACTTTATTTGATCTGTGGTAGTCTAGACAATCCTGTTATTTTCTAATACATGATAGATAACACTTTCAGATAGGCCACAATAAAAAAAGTCTCATTTGAAGCAAACCAGTTTCCACAACCAAGTTATGCAAAAACCGTTATATTTAGAAATCAGACTAAGTTTTTATAAAAATCTTAATCCCTAGTAATACAACTGCTTTAAATTTTCAGACAGTGGGAGTAGCTCACCGTTGCCCAAGTATGCCTCCTCTCCTAAGCCCAACAACAGCTACATGTTCAAACGAGAGCCCCCAGAGGGATGTGAACGAGTGAAGGTCTTTGAGGAAGTGTCGTAAGTAATGCCTTTTATATCAGCTGGGATCCGCAAGGGCAGAAAATCAGTTTGTTGGACATTTTTTGAGCTGCAGATGAATAATCTACTCCAGCTGATGAAGTTTATTTTCCCCCTTCAAGAAAGAAATCAGTCCTGCCATTTTTTTGAGGCAAATTGGAAGTGTTCCTGTTGGTTTGAAGGGACACAGTAGTGAGTGAGCACCCTTGGTCATGTGGTCTGTATCTTATGAAAGCATAGCTAAAGGGGAATATGGAAATATGAAGTTTGTGTAATGTTTTTCATTCTGTAAAGGTAACTGCAGCCAGAGGGGTTTTGCGGGGGCAGTTTTTTAATTGTATTTTTTTTTTTTTTTTAGCTTTTCTCTGTGTATTTGCATCTTTGTTAAGAAAGAACTATATATGAAAGAGTGTGATATCCACATTCTCTAAGATAGCTTGTGTGGGCAAACTGGTGAGGTTAGAAGATACTGTGTGAGCTCAGTAAAAATGTTTTTGGGATTTGTTGCTAAAGTTCAAAGAAAGTAGTCTTCCTGGGTAAATCTTTAGAAAACTTAGGAAAGATAAAACTTCACCGTCCCTGCTTGTGTGTGAATATAATGAATTTTTCTGCTTGCTTTTTCTATGCGCATTATTTATTGCTGTGAATCAGCTCATTGACTGTCAATATGGAAGATGTTTGCCCATCTGTCAAGTAATTCCATGCTTTTATCATTCTGCATAACATATAATACCTGCACATTTGTATCAAATTGTATCAATTGTATACTCTCAAATTCTACTCAAATATAATTATTCATCTGTTCCATTTTTTTATAGGACTCGTCAGCCTGTCTCAACCCCTCTCTTTTCATGTCCTGACAAAAATAAAGTTAATTTCATCCCAACTGGATCAGCTTTCTGTCCTGTAAAACTTTTGGGTCCTTTATTACCTTCTTCTGATCTGATTCTCAAAGGCTGTCCAAACTCTAGTCAAAGCAGCACATCTTTGAGTACTCTGACTGTGGATCAGCTTTCTTCTCGGGTTACTTTCTCTTCTCTGTTGGATGACACCAGCACAAGGGACTCTTCAGAGATCTTAGTACAACAGCCATCCCAGCAATCTCCACAGCTTTTGCAAGAACTGCAACCTGAAGAACACTCCCCTCCTCAAAATTATGTTGTAATCTAGTACAAAATAGACGGTTGGTGTAAAACATAATTGCATGAGTGGCCACTTTTCCAGGAAAAAAAAAGCTGTTTTTCAGCATCTTTCTATATTTCAAAGCTCTTCTTGGCAGGGATGGAAATGCTCTGATTCAGCATTTTTGTATTGTGGGGAGCAAAATGCTTGCAGAATCTATATATCATTAAGCATTTTAAGTGGAGACTACGCATTTCATAGAATGATGAGAGTAGTACTGTTTCCTGTGTTTTTCTTTTTAAAAGTCTACAGTATAAATAAGCTCTGTATCAAACAAAGGTTGCCTGTCTAAATAGAAAATGTTTTGCTGTGTTGTGTTCTATAGAAGATACTGTATTTCAGGATTATGTTTACAATTTATCCAGGTATTTATGTTTTAAATTTCTGTGATACATACAATGTAGAAAAAGATAACCCAAAAGAAAAATGACCACAACAGTTGCACAGTGCCCACCTGAGGGCATAGCTTCAGGTATTTCTCTCAAAGTCTAAACTCAGGTATCTTGGAATGTATATCATACTGGGATATAAAATATTTTACAGCTGAAAAGCTAAAGAGGGATCATCACTCTTCTGCCTTTTTATTGTTTATGCATTAATAGTTCCTCATTACATTCCACTTACTTTGAGGAAAATACATTCAGAACCAGAGAACTATTACTTTGGTGAACATGAGGAAAGCTAGCAAATTTGTGATGTACAGCTTCACTTCATGTCATTACAAGTAAAACAACTGTTGCATTTCATTTCATTGTGGCAATTATGGCATTGAAAAGCATCAGGTGTTGCACAGTTAATGACTGTTAAGCTGTTCTGAATAAAGTGTTGTTATAACACTGTACATAAGCAACATTCCATGGTGAGTGTGTGTGTGTGAGAGAGAGGTGAGAGGGTGGAGGGAGAGAAAGAGAGAGAGATGCCTAACAAAGCCAAGTATGCTTTTGTTGATTTCCACAAATTTGCCAGGTTTGGGAAGTTGATACGAATTTTCTCTCAAGCTTGTGCTGGTGAGTTAAGGTTGTGAAATGCTACAGTTACAATATTAAGAGTCTAATTAATGTTTAGTTTCTCTTTTGGGGAAATACTAACTTGTGTCTTCGTTGCTAAAAAATTCTAAATTGTTTTGACATGCAATGAATGATAAATTATTTTATCTATAAAATGTGTATATCACACCTGGATTAAGAAAAATCTCTTAAGCAGCATATAACGTATTTTTAAAAAAAAAGGTAAGGAAAAAAGCAATAGTTGTTAAGTTATATTATCTATTCAAAGTCTTTGTAATATCCTAGTAAATTTATTTTTCATTAGACTGTGCTGAAGTTTGTCTTCAAAACAGCTGCACACCCATGGAACATCCAGCAGCATTTTTCACTGCTCTGAAACTGCAAAAGCAGTGGTTTTGGAGATAATAATCAGCAGAAGAAAGGGGACTCCAAGACAAGAAGCATTTAATATTCCCGTGTCTCTGCTTTTGGCTCTGTGCGAGTAGTTTTATGCAGGGTTTGGCTCTTTTGTTCAGAAATGGAAAAGGTTGACATGACGGCAGTATTTATGCCCATTTAATTATTTTCTTTTGAGGACAAGTTGGGGCAAAAAGAAAGGGGATAATAAAGGTGCCTAAGAAAAGACATGGAAAATAAGTAGCTGCTACATGTTGTATGGCTTCCTTTGTATTATTACCAAAGAGTTTGGTAAAAAAAAAAAAAAACTGTTAGGGAGGGTAGACCAGTGGCATTTATATGGCTGTAGAAGCAGGACGGAGTGAAAGTTAAGGATTAGTTACTTTCACACAGGGTTTTTTGGTCTTTTTTTTTTTCCTTTTGGGAAAAGGTATATATAATCCTACTAAACTCAGGCTTTGGTGAAAGTGCTATATAATTTTTGTGTTAAAGTATAAGGAAAAAGCATTCAATTCTTCTGACAAATGTGCATTCTTTAAAGTTTTACTTTTAAGTGTTAAAGTGCATTTCCATTTTTATTCTTGAGCCGTTTTCAAATGTAACAATAGCTTGATTCTTAATGTTAGGGTTTATGAAAAGCTCTGTCAGATCAAGAATGAGTTCTGTATACAATATTTACAGTGATACTGCTTGTTCTGTTTCATGAGAAACTAAATATTAATTATCACTTGCATTTGTTTTTAGCTTATTCAAAAATTCTGAATAAAATATATTAAAATTAATGATTTGTGATGTAATTTTTCCAGCAATTATTGATCTCTGGTATATCCTACATTCATTTGTAGAAAATTGTAAGATACTGTTTCAAGCATGTTGTGTATAGTTGTCATTTCCAGCCTCTGTGCTGAGCAGTATTCAAATTACCACATATTTGCTTTACCCCTGAAAAAAAACTGTTTTTCAGTATAAAAGTTCCTATGCCTATTTAAATGAAATTATTAGGAAAACATACACTAAAAACTGCAAGTATAATATGACTGATTTATTTGTAAACTAGCTAAAAGGTGTAATTGAAACAAAATAGATGAGATTTTGAACTTCCCCACTGCAGACATAAATTGTCACATGTTTTGCTTTTAGTTGAACTTCATGTCTGTTCATGGGAAGAAAATTAATTTGAAGTTTAAGATATTTATCTTCATGGTTATGAAAAAAGAGTAGTGAGACTTAAGATGCTTTATATTTCATAGAATGGATCAAACCACTTTATTTTAGTCATCAACCAGAAAATCATAGGGCGAGTATCATTAGTTAGGTTTTCTAAGCAGTAATCAAATTTTGTCCTTCAATTGTATATTTAATCAAACCAATTCATTTATTTCTCCCATAAGATGATGTAATAGAATATGGTAAATACATAACATTTCTGAAAATATTTGCTTACTTACCCTGGATATGCACGTTGTTTAATTTCTTACAGTTTTAATATAAACCATACTGATTCAATGACTGACTGACTTATTTCTTGTTATAAAGACGTCCATTTTATTTTTTTATTTTTTTAAATATATTTTTATTAATTTTTTTTTAACATTGTAAAACATCATGGCATCAACAACGTTCTTGGCATCTGTACAAGATTTTGGTTTAAATATCATAATACATTATATTGCGTTTATCTACTATTAAATAATATCTTTAGCTATAATTACTATTCTTATATCTTTAGTTTACAAAATTTTATTTTACTTTCTTAAGGGTTGTTTCGAAGACGTCCATTTTAATGTGATAAATATATTTATAAAATATAAATTAATATATAAATAAAAAAGTATTCCTATCCTAAAAATGGCAAAGAAGAGCATAAAGCAACCTTTGTGGCATCTTCTGCTAGTAGTAATATCAGCTTTGGCAAAATGAATGTGCTGAAACATTTCTCCTGAAAGATGAAGCTCATCCAGAGTAGAATATTTTATATGTTCAGGTCTGTGTGTTTTAAATTTTATATATTTTAAGATATCCCATATATCCAACCATGTTGGGCAATACAAAAAATTGGTTCAGATAAGGAGCCATTTTTGTGCGTGTGAAAACAGCCAGGTTTCTGTTTGACATAGGATATTTTACAGAATCCACTCTAGTTCTGCTTTACTTACTAGGTAAAAGGTAAGAGAGATTTTTGCCGTCCTGCCCTGTTAGATTTGCCTGAAACTATTTCCAAAAATCAACCCAAACTACAAGGCTTTATTTTTTTTAATATTTTTATTATATATTAATAAATGTGTGTGTGTGTGTGTGTGTATGGTATTCAGCTTTGCTCGGGTATTTTCCCACGTCACTGTAGTTGTGCTTTTAAAGTTGTAGCAACGTTTCGGCAGAATCTCATCTGCCATCATCAGGCTTCTGTATAGTGTTCGTCTGTGAGTCAGACTTTTACAGTTGTTTCAGTTTAAATTTGGAGCTAGCCTATTGCTGTGCCAGAATGGTTTTTCCTTCATCCTGATTGGTTGGGAGTCTTGGTCTGTGTTTATTGGTCTTGGAGTTTGCTGTGTTCTGCTTGACTGGTGTTTCTAATATCTTCTGTCTGTTTTGTGGCTTTTTTGTGTGTCTTGATTGGCTGGC